ATGAAACCCTTAAATAAAAAAAAAAAAAAAAAAAAAAAAAAAGAAAGAAAAAAACCAACCAAACAAAACAAAAACATAAGAACAAAGTAAATACCAAAGAGAGCAAAAGAAGAGCAAAGTAAATCTAAATCAGGAAGAAGGAGGTAATAAACAGAAGACTGAAAATCAAACACAAAGCAATAGAGAGGTAGCTCTTCAAAAGGTCAGTAAATTTGTATACTTTCTAGTCAGATGGATCAAGATATAGAGAGATGTGAGGCAAAGGGTGCCCACTTTTGCCACACTTTTAGTCAACAAAAGAGTAGAAGCTTTAACCAGAGCAGACAAATAAGAAGAAAGAAATAAAAGGCATCCAAACTGTAAGGGAAAATGTTAAACTATCTCTCTTTGCAGAAGATATGATCATCTATGTGGAAAACCCTAAAAATTAAGCATTCATAAAAATAGAACTTGTAAGTGAATTAAATGAAGTAGTAAGATACAAAGCCACCACGCAAATTACATGAGATTAAATTAAGATTGATCAAAGCAATCTAAAAATCCAACATATAATCCTTATGAAAATCTTAATCTTTTTTTTAGAAAATTCCTAAAATTCTTAGGAACCTTGAATGATCAAATACTCTTAAAAACAAGAGCAGGTCAGAAGAGGGTGTTGGATTCTCCGCACACATGGTGCACTTGGATACAGGCAAGCAAAACACTCATACACAGAAATGAAAAAATAAATAAAAAAGTTTTAAAAAGTATTTGGGCAACACAGTTTCAACTTGATGGGGGGAAATAATATGAAGGTGGGGTGGGTGGGGCAGTGGGGATGATCTGGGAGAAGTGAAGGGATGGAACAATATAATCAAAATACATGTATGAAATGCTCAAAGAATTAATAAAAAAGAAAAAACAATTAAGTAAATAAATGAAAATACAATTCACAAATTAAAAAAAAAAAGAACAGGACTCAATCTCCTGGCTTCCGCAGGCATTGCATGGCATGGGTGCACTTATACACATGTAGGAAAACACTAAGGCACTTAAAACTAAATAAATAAATTAAAAAATTTAAATGTTAAAAAAGAACAAAATTGGAGGGCTCATGTTTCTAAAACTTACTACAGGCCAGGGGTAATGAGAACAATGTGTGCTGACATAAGACAGTTCTACACACCAGTGGACTAGAACAGGAAGCTCAGAAATAAATCCTCACATGTATGATCAACTGACTTTTAAATTAATTTTATTTATTTATTCATTCATTCATGTGTATGTGTACATACACGCCTGTGTGTGCCAAGACATGTGTGTGGGGTTCAGGGGACAGAAGAGGGTATCAGATCCCCTGGAACTATAGTTAAGTATAATCGTTAGCCACTATGTGGGTGCTGGGAACGAAACTAGGCCCTCTGTAAGAGCAGCCAGTGCTCTTAACCTTTGAGCCATCTCTCCAGCCCCATTTGAAAGTAGTTTTTTAAAACTTTTATTGATTCCAGAATTTCATACATTTTTTTTCATATTCAGACATCTTCCTCCCCTCAGACCGCACCCTGACTTCATGTCTTCTATTATTTGTTTGTTTTGGGGGGTGGTTTGAGACAGGGTCTCTCTGTAGCCTCAGCTGACCTGGAACTCGCTATGTAGACCAATCTGGCCTCAATCTCACAGAGATCCACCTACCTCTGTTTCCTGAGTGCTAGGATTAAAGGCCTGTGCCACCATACCCACCCAGCCTTTTGAAAAAAATTTATTTTATGCATATGAGTATTTTGCCTGCATATATGTAAGTGCAACACATGCATGCAATGCTAGTGGAGGTCAGAAAAGGGTGTTGAGAACTGGAACTGAAGTTCTGGATAGTTGTTAGCTGCTATGTGGGTGCTGGGAACAGTGCTCTTGATCACTGAACCATCTCTCCAGCCCCTCATGTCCTCTATTATTATTATTTGTCTTTTTTTTTAAAGGCCTGTGACATCTAGTCTGTGTTTCCCAAGTACTCTTGGGTGTGGGTCTATCCCCTAGAGTCTGGTAAACCTACTGGGCATCACACCAGAAAGGAAAACTGACTCTTCCTCTCCCAGCATCTATCAAATGCTAATAGATTCTCAGACCTGGAGCTTCCCTGCCCACCTCCCCATCCATGATAGGCCCCTGTTTAGCTTGGGTTTGCATAGGTCTTGTGCATGTTGTCATAAGTGATGTAGGTTCATATGTGCAAATACCTGGTGGTATTTTAAACAACACAGTTTCCTTGTATTCATCTTAATCTTCCTGCCTGCTGATTCCTGAGCCTTGGGAGGAGAGGGTGCAATATAGGTATCCCATTTATGGCCGAGCACTTCAATTTCTTTATTCTGGGCACGTGTGACCATTTATGAGTCTCTATGTTAATTGCCATCTGCTGCAAGAAAAAAAATATATATATATAGTGTCCCCAAATGTCCTTCAGTGTGGGTTCATCCACTGGAGCCTAGTTAACCTAACAAGAGTCCCATGTTTGAAGGAAACAATCTCTTTCCCTCCCAAGCAGCCATTGGTTGCCAAAATTTACTTAGGTGGGTTTGGGTTTCTTATCTACTTCTCCATGTCTGTGCTAGGATTTTGTCTGGTTTGAACTTGCATGGGACTTGTGCCATTACAGTGTGTTCATATGAATAACTGACCAGCTGTCTGGAAAACTCTTGTTTCCTTGTGGTCATTCACCATCTTGGCTCTTAGACCCGCCCCCCCCCACCCCAATGATTCCTGAGCCTTGGGAGGCAGATGTTTGGTATATATGTTTCATTCAGGGATAAGCACTCGTCAGCATCTTGTGAGTAGTGTAGAGTTTATAATGCACATCTGTATCTTATCTGTGTGTGCCTTCAAGTAACAATACACTGTCTCAGTGTGGCAAAGATAGTGTTTTAGTAAGTGTTACTTGGACCACTGAGAAACCTTTTGGAAAACATTAAAATTATATACATATTTTTAAGTATTATTTTTATTTTATGTTCATGAGTGTATTGCCTGCACGCATGTAAGTGCGCCCGTGTCATGCAATGCCCATGGAGATCAAAAGAGGGCATTAAATTCCTCTGGTACTGGAGTTATAGCTGATTGTTAGCTGCCGTATGGGTGCTGGGAATTGAACCTGGGTCTTCTCCAAGAGCAGCCAGTGCTCTTAACTGCTGAGCCATCTCTCCAGCTTCTAAATTACGTATTTTTTGAAGATACGTGGAGGTTTTTGGATTTTTTTATGACAATGATTGGTTTATTGATTGATTTTATGGTGTGTGTGTGTGTGTGTGTGTGTGTGTGTGTGTGTGTGTGTGTGTGTATACATGCCACAATGCATGTGTGGGGGTCAATGGACAACTTGTGAGAGTCAGTTCTCTCCTGCCACCATGTGGGTCCTGAAAATTGAACTTAAGTTTCAAGGTATAAGACTTGGTGACAAGCACCTTTACTGGCTGAATGTCTCACCATTAGATTCTTGTTACACCATTGACTAGGAAAACTTCCAACTCAATCAGTTACTTAAATGTAAGTAACAAAGAATAGAAGGGAAAAGTTGATGAATTTCTTTTTATTGGTAAAGACTTTCTACCTATGACTGAAAATCTTTATACACTAGAAATAAAGACAGATGAATTTGCATGTAACTACAAAAAATTCTCTTGCTTGGTAAAATAATACTATAAAGAAAACCAAAAGGTTTGACATACGGGGAGAAAATTTTACAACATGTGGTAGGTAAAGTCTAATACAAAAAGCTGTTTTAATAATAATGAGAAAAATACTGAAAATATCATAGATCAATGGTCAGCCAACTTAGCTCTTAGACTGACTGCCTATTTTGTAAATGGTTTCATTGACACAGCCACACCCATTCCTCATGTGTCCTTGGCCTGCTGTCATGCTGCAATAATAGAGCTGAACAGCTGCAGTCGGGATTGTGTGATCCACAGACTGCAACATTTAGTTTGTTTTCCATGGAAGAAAAAGTCTGCCAACTCTTTATATAGGAAAATGATGTAAAAAAAGTGAACAGGAAATTCACAAATAGACAAAATGATATCTGCTAAATACAATGCTCAACATTTTTCATAATTAGAGAAGTTGGAATAGACCTATTGTAATGGTTAACATTGATTGTCAATTTGATGGTATCTAGAATCAATGAAGAGACAAGCCTCTGGGTATGCCTATGTGAGATCATCTAGATTAGGTATTGATTGAGATGGAGAGAAGCTCCCTGATTGTGGGGGGCAACATTCCATGGACTGGAGTCCTGAACTGCATAAAAAGAAGACCGCTTGCCAAGCACAAGGATTTGCAACTTTCTTCTTAACTGTGGATACAGTGTGACCAGCTGCTTCAAGTTCTGCTGTTATGCCTTCCCCACTGTGATGGAAATGTATCCCTTAAAACTCTAAGCCAGAATGAATCCTTTCTCCTTTAAGTTGCTTTTGATAGGGTTTTTTGTCACAGCAACAGAAAGGGAACTAATATACTCAGATAAATCAATTTAGGAATTTTCTCTGCACATATACCTCCAAAAATAAGGAAATAACTGAACAATTACAGTTATAAATTGGTTTTAGTTTAATATATTGGAAACACTTAAGTTATCCAGACCTCACAAATTGACTGACTAAAGCTAATAGATTGATGTGGTAGAGTACTATGCATTTGTCAGCCTGAGCCTTTTAATGTCCAAGCTGTCCCTCCAGCCCAGTACTATGCACTTGTCAAAGTGAATGAGAAAGATCTTTGTGAATGTATTAAAGTGCCTTGCCAGGTGTTAAGTGGAGAGGCAGAGTCAAAGGACATTTACCATCTACCACATTCTATGTGAGAAAGGAGGAAAAAATACCAACCTGTACATATGTCTGCTCTTCTCTGCAGAAGGAAGCAGGAAAGATAAACAGAAAGCAGTGATAGGAGGTGAGAGGTGGAAGGGATTTAGGGGAGAATGGTGTATGTTTATCTGCCACATAGTGTGGTAGCTTTCACTGATACGACAAAATATCTGAGAATATCAACTTAAAGGAGGAAGGGTTTATTTTGGCCCATGGTTTCAAAGGTTGCAATCCTTGGTCACTTGGCCCCCTCATTGTAGGCCCAAAGCCAAGTTGATAATCATGGTGGGGAATATCTGGTAACGTGACTACCAGAAAACAAAGAGAGCTGAAGAAAAAGCATTTGGGGAAAGGATGTATCCTTCAAAGCATGCCCCTCTAACTTTCTCTGACTATGCCCTGCTTCCTACAGCCCATTCAGCTATGAACTCATCAGTAAGTTAATCATTGTATTAGTTACTTTTCTGTTGCTCTGATAAAATACTCCAACTAAAAGCAACTTATAGAAGGGAAAGTATTTTTGCTTTACAGTTCCAGAGGGTTAGAGTCCATAATGGTAGGCAAGGTATGACAGCAGACAGCATGAGCAGGAAGCTGGACAAAGGCCTATGAGGGACATTTTTCAAACCACAACAGTCTTCATGATTCAGTCACCTCTCAAGAGTATTGGTAGCTGGGACTGGGAAGCAGGGTTCTCACTGTGAAGGAAGAAACATGTAGACACGGACTGGGGGAAGTCAGATTCTCAACTCCTGGGCAGAAGTGTGTGTCTGAGTATGGTAGTCTTTGTGTGTGTGTGTCAGTTTGCATCTATGTGTGCATATATGTGAGTATTCCTTTTTATACTTGCTGTCCTGTTTGCTGATGAAAGCTTAGTGCTGCAGAGGCAGTGCACACTCCTCGTGCCCATATCTGGTTTTTAGCACCTCAGTCCATCAGAAATGGCTGATCCAGTGATGGGCAGGGCACCGTGGAATTAGCTATGAAACATCTTCTTAGATCAGAAGGTGAAACTATGCTGAAAGATAACAGTTCCTGTATGTGACACTCAGGGTCCAGCTCCGTTTTCTACCACCATGCCCATGTGGAATGTTTTTCCTTCTTTTCACTGTATATATCTATTTACTTGTTTTCACCCAGCAAGTGGTGAGCTTGTCGCAGGCTCTTGCCTGTTTATTTTGCTGACACTCTCTCTACCAGTACAGAGCAGTGTTTATTAACAGTTGCTGAGGATACCATGGAGCTTCTGGTTTCTCTCTTAGTATTTACTATATTAGAAATGAAAACTGAAGATTAAAAAATTAATTCATTTAAAACTAATTATAAATGGAGTTACCTTGTAAGTGTGGGAGGGGAGGGGGGTGGCAGTGCATAGGCTATCAAATAAAAAGCCCAGTGCCAGGTGTGAGATACCTATTTTTGAGTTGTTGGTCAGTGGGATCCCATAGACCCTCATACCTCACCCCAACATTATAAGCTGTTACCATTGCTCTTGATTACCCTCCAGAACTTGATGTTAATATGCTATTACTGAAGACACCACATATTTGAGTTCTAGAACATGGAGAAATCAAGCTGGTACTGATCTAGGAGTTTCATCCCTGCTAGATAGCTTTCATGGTGCTAGAAGGTGCTATGCATACTACCACGGGAGGAATGTAGTCAACAGTCTTACCCAGCTATGAGCTAAAATAATGACTAGCCTGGCAAGATATGCCCACTGGTACAATAGTGGCATAAATGTTATGGGAGTAACAAATCATTTTTTAATTTGATTTAAGGCCCACTCTACAAGATGAAACTCATGCCTGATACTGTTAAGTAGGCCAAGAACCCATGGCCAGGTATAGCATAGGCCTAGGGAAGAACCTACTACTATTTGCTAAGTAAACATTGTATTAAACCACCCTCTAATGCCCTCTAAGTACTTATTCTTTTTTTGGTCGGGGGACAGGATCTTCCTGTAGCCCCAGCTGGCCTGGAACTGGTAAAGTTCTGCCGGCCTCTGCTTCCTGAATTCTGGGATTAAAGGCTTGCACCACCACACCCAGCAGATTAGTGCTTCTCTTAACCCTTATCAAAGAAGCTTCTTTTTGCAGTAGATGACTGTTAGTACAGAGATCCACCCCCCAACCTGTCAATGTGTAGAAAATAAGAAACTAAGGAGTAGTCAGCCCTAAATGGGACGTCTACATCACATTCTTTTCCTTCCAGTGCTCAGGGAATCATTGTGGGAGGGGGAGCAGAAAGATTTTAAGAGCCAGAGGCAGTGGATAACTGCAGTGAAACAGTATTTTCTGAACATGAGAGGGCTTTTGCACACATGACTCACAGAGGCTATGACGACATGCATAAGACCTGCACAGATCATGCCAGGCAAAGTCCAAGCATGGTTGGGTTAGGGAGTCACAAAGTCCCAACCTAGCTGAAGCACTATTGGCAATTGATGCTGCTAGAAAAGGAAAAGTCATTTTTCTTCAGGGATATGACTCCTGAAGGCGTCCCATGCTCCAATAGATGGCCCTACACTCATGCAAATACTGAAAGCACTGAGTGGATTCAGTTGGTTTTTTTAAAAAGGTACATGAACTTGAGAGAAAATAGCTGTGGGGAGGATAGGGGAAGAATTTTAGGGGATGAGTTTTAAGGGAGAGGATGAAGGGTAGATTTGAAATTAACTTTATTATTTATTTATTTATTTATTTACTTATTTATTTATTTATTTATTTACTATCATCTACCTATCTATCTATCTATCTATCTATCTATCTATCTATCTATCCCAAGTACTGGGACTACAGGCGTGCGCCACCACGCCCAGCTTGAAATTAACTTTTTAAAAATATAAAATTGGGGTGCAGTGATGGCTCAGTGGTTAAGCGCTCTGACTGCTTTTGCAGAGGATCTGGGTTTGATTCCCATCACCCACTTGGTGACTAACAACCGTCTGTAACTCTATTTCTGGGGGATCCAGTGCTCTCTTCTGAACTCCATGGGTGTTGCACGTAACACACATGCAAGCAATACACTCATACACATAAAATAAAAATAACAAATAAAATATTTTATAAAAATAAAATTAAAAAATTAAAAAATCTTAGAAACTCACTGCATGTTGACATAAATCACACATTCTTATAAAGAATTTCTACAGCAGTAGGCATTCAGTGAGAATAGCCTTGTTGTATGTCATGTCCACCTCTCTTGTGACTTGCTGACAAAAACATCTGGTTTCCCATATCTGATATATGTGTGTCTCCACTGCTGTCATACACATGTGGCCTCTTCAGGATAGCAAAAAGGTAGGTTATATTCACATGAGACCATGGAAGGGCCTTGGAGGCTCCCCCACCCACCTGCCTTAGACCACTTTGTAAACTACTGCCTTAGAACAGATCTTATTTTCTGAGAAGCATTCAGTAAATGCTTATCAAATTAATCAGTACATTCCAAAATGACCAGTGGGGGCCAGCACCTGACTGGATTTGTCAGTTCTGATATACTTGACAGTTTGTCTTCAGGCCTCGTACCCAGTGCATTTTCCTATGGATGTTGCATGACACAGTTTCAGGCCTTCTCTGCTTTCCCTGTGACAGGTGTGCCAGTGAACAGCAGAGTATCCTCCAAAATCCAACAGCTTCTGAATACCCTGAAGAGGCCAAAGCGCCCGCCTCTAAAGGAGTTCTTTGTGGATGATTTTGAGGAATTACTGGAAGGTAGAGTTCTCTGAGTTGAGCTTCCATGTTTTCATGAATGTGGTGACCACGAAGTCTGGAAACACAGGCAAATATGCATCTCATGTGAGTGATTGCTGGTATGTTGTAAGATAGTAAAATACTGATCACCATGTGCATTGGTGAGTGTAGAACCATGTGGAATAATTCCTGTATGTGAGTAGGTAGAAAATTCATGACTCATATTAAAATGACTTAGCATTTCTCTATGCATCCAGTCCAGTGGTTAGCACCTAATAAAAATACTTATAAGGGAGAGCTGGAGAGATTGCTCAGTGGTTAAGAACACTGACCGTTCTTGCAGAAGACCTGGGTTTGAATCCCAGCACCCACATGGCAGCTAACAGCTGTCCATGACTCCAGTTCCAGGGGATCTGACAGCCTCTTCTGTCCTCCGCAGGCACTGCACGACACAGGTGCATTTACCTACATGTAGGCAATACACGCATACACATAAAAGAAAAATAATGAAATATTTTTTAAAAAAACTTAAAGGTTTCATTTAACTTAGATTACTTCAATTTTGATTTAAAATTTAAATGTGAGCTGCTTATAATCCCTTAGATTTAAAAGCACTATATTTTTATCCTAGATTTGGCCCCCTTTCAGAGTTTTAGCCTCTCATTTATGAATGAGTATATATTTAGAAAAGAAAGAATGTAGATTTTTTTAAAAAGGAAAACTAGCAGAAACAGGAGGGAACCTATAGATAGGCCACAAAAATGAGCCAGTGCTAGCATGCATGTATATGCAGGCAACAGGTACCATACAGCTGGCCCATTGCACCTTGTCCCAGAGCAGTGTTGCCACCATGGGCATCTCCTCCATACCTGAGGGTAAAGCCTGCCTTTCAGGATCTGGTTGTGCTTTATAATTAGACTATCCCTTTCTAGTTCAGAGTTTCATAGTATGGTTACTTTTTTGTTTGTTTATTTGTTTGTTTTGTGAAACAGGATCTTTTTCTGTAGCCCCAGCTAACCTGAAACTTGCTATGTAGACCAGACTGGCCTCGATCTCACAGAGACTCACCTGCCTCTACCTCTCAAGTGCTGGGATTAAAGGTGTGCACTGTGGTACCTGGCTCAATGCTAGTGGTTTTGATGCCTGACTAAAGAGGTGGTTCTGTTTACTTTGGTCCTGAGTGAGCCAGTGAATAGAACCTACTTCCAAGGCCCTGAAGCCTTACTACCCCTGCTTTGGAGTTGTGGGGTATCACTGTGCTACATTGCAGTCCCAAGGGTAGAAAAGTGGAAATGCCTTCCTGTGGTCCCCTTTACTGTGTAAGGCTACATTTACCAGAATGGTGGGTTGTTTTTATTTCAAAATCATTGTTGTCTGTAACTAACTCTCATTTAGTCCTTTAGGTAATTAGTCTGTGACTATGATGGTAGTAAAAAAAAAAAATCAAAGCAGATTATTGTAAGCTTTTTATCATTGTAATTGCAGAGTAAAATCATAAAGTACAGTTGCTAAAAAATAGAATGTATGCATGGCACTCTGACATGTTGAATTTTAAATTTTGGTTTTGTTTGTAGTTCAACAACCAGATCCAAATCAACCAAAGCCAGAAGGAGATCAGATGGCTGTGCTGAAAGGAGAGCCTCTATTGGTGGGGACTCCTGGGCCACCATCTCTGTTGGCCTCACTGCAGCGCTGGGGCACAACACAGCCCAAAGCCCCCTGCCTGACTGCCTTGGATACAGCAGGGAAGGCCACCTGCACTCTCACCTATGGTAAGTGTCAGCAAAGAGTGTTGTGCTTCTTGTTCATCTTAAAGTGTTGCATATGCACTACAGTAGACACACTGCATGGTGCACATTGTAAAGCAGAAGCATATACCTGTCTGTCAGACAGGCAATATCAGTGGTATCACTCTAGGCACTCCTTGTCAGAAGGGCCACTGGCTGGCTGATTTTCAGTACTTTAGGTGTATATCCATTCTGAACAACCTAGTTTATATTATTTTGAGCTTTGCGTATATTTTATGTGTGTGATATCTTTTAATTCCTTTCTATGTTTTTTTATACAATTACTCATAAGTACATGGTATATTTTGCAGAATGAATACACATCCTCATAATTGAAGTGTTGTCTGGGCCAGACTGGCAGTGCTCCTTCCAGTGTTTAAATCCTATACACAAAGTGAAATCATGGTCCTAACTACTCTGGCTGTTAGCTCTCTATGTTTGAAAATTTTAAGTAAACAGATTGTATTGGTGTTCTTTTACTTCTGCCTTCATTTCCTTAGCATGTGAGATGTACCCACACAAAATGCTGTGAAAATTTTTAGTTTATTCTCATTGGTAGATATTTTTTGTTAAATACACCAGAACTTATTTATGCATACCCCCAATACATGGACATGTGGGTCATTCCCACTTTGGGGCTGTTGTCTATGGTGCTGTGAACATTCTTCCTTGACTCTTGGTGAGCATATGCAGCATTGGTAGTAGGTATAAACCTGGAACAGAGTGACTAAGCTTCAGGACATGCCACCAGACAGATCTCCAAAGGGTTGCAGTACTTGACATCATCAGAGCAGCTATAGAGAGTTCTGCCCCACCCCCTCCCAGCACTCATTGTTTTTTTAGTCTTTATATATATATTTTAATATTTTATTATTTTTATTTTATGTGTATGAGTGTATTGCCTGCATGTATGTGAGTGCACCCGTGTCGTACAGTGCTGTGGAGGTCAGAAGAGGGCTTTGGATTCCCCTGGAACTGGAGTTGAGGATGGTTCATAGCTGCCATGTGGGTACTGGGAATTGAGTCCTGGTCCTCTGCAAGAGCAGTCAGTGCTCTTGACCAGTGAGCCATCTCTCCAGCCCCTCTTTGAGTCTTTCTTGTAGGTGATTCACAATTTCTCATTAGATATTTACTGGATAGAACATGATGTTTTCTTGTGTGCTTTTTGGTTATTTTGAATGACTCTGGCTCATTTTTCTGTTCATTGGTCAACATTCTTTTACTGCTTTATGTTTTTGATACATGCCTTTTGAGAGATACACGCTCTTTTTAAAATGTGTGTGTGTCTGTGTCTGTGTGTTGGGAGGGGGGTGCCCATGGGGACCAGAAGAGGGCATTGGATTCTTGGAGCTAAAGTTACAGGCAATTGTGAGCCACCTACATGGGACCCACACTCTTGTCCTCTGCAAGAGCAGTAAGTGCTCTTAACCACTGAGACATCTCTCTAGTGCTGGGATACACATTTTTGTTTTGTTTTTGGTCTTTTTGAGACAGGGTCTCCCTATAGCCCCAGCTGACTTGGAACATACTATGTAGACCAGGCTGGCCTCGAATTCACAGAGATCTGCCTGCCTCTGCCTCCTGAGTGCTGAGATCAAAGTGTGCACCACCATGCTCGGAAGGATACATGTTTTGAATTTACCTTCTCTCACTATTTGGAAACCCTTTTGTTGTTGGTTTTTAAACAAGGTCTTACTATGAACCCTGCAACTTGTTGTGTAGACTAGGCTGGCTTTAGACTCGCAGAGATCCACCACCTGCCTCTGCTTAGGGCTGGGATTAAAGTCCTATGCCACCATGCCCAAACTCAGCTGTCTTTTTTGTTGTTACTGCTGCTGCTCAGGTAGGGTCTCCTTATATAACCTGGCCTGACCTTGAATTTACAGTCTCCTGTCTCAGACTCCTGAATGCTTAAATTATAGGAATTTGCTACCACAGTCTGGCTTGAATTGCCTTTTAACACTTCTAATTGTAACTTTTAATGAATGATAGCTCTTAATGGTCTTGTTGCCTCTTATTATGGTTTATTTTTATCCTGTTTAGGAAGACATTGCCCAACCTAAAATATCTAGGATATGCTCCAATATATTCTTCTAAAACCTTCCTTGTCTTGCTGTTGACATGTAGATGTGATATTTCAGCTACAAATTAATTCTGCATACTGTCTTCCTTTTCTTACGACTGTTTGATTGATTTCATACCACTTATTGAAGAAGCTTGTTTTCCTATTCTTCAGTGTTACTTCATGAAAGATATGTTTATCTTTCAGATCATGGAGGTCTTTTTGGCTCCATCTGACTGTTGCCAACTCTGAATCAATTGTTCTCTGAGGCTCAGCATCTAGCATTTGTCTCCCAGCCTTCTGATCACTATTGCAGTTCTTGGCTCATAGCATTTCCAAGTAAACTTTAGAACAATCTTGTCGTTGCATAGAAATGCTTGCTGGAATATTGGTTGACAGTGCATTGAATCTAGTTGAATTTGAAGAGGACTGATACTGTCACAATTATGAGTCTTCCTGTTCATGACTATTGAATATTTTCCCCCTTTAAAGACCTGTAATTTCATCCCAGCTAAATAATATTCCATTGTGTAAGGGTACCATATTTTCATTATCCATTCATCAGTTGATGGACATCTAGGCTCTTTCCACTTCCTGTCTATTATAAATAGAGCAGCAGTGAACATGGATGGACAGGTATCTCTGTAGTAAGATTTAAAATCTTTTTTTTTTGGTCATTTTGAGACAGGGTCTCCCTGTAGCCCCAGCTGTCCTGGAACTCACTATGTAGACCAGGCTGGCCTTGAACTCACAGAGATCCACCTGCCTCTGCCTCCTGAGTGCTGGTATCAAAGGCGTGCACTACCATGCCTGGCAGATTTAAAATCTTTTGAGTATATGACCAAGAGTTATATGGCTAGATCATGTGGGAGATCTATTTCTAGCTTTCTGAGGAACTTCCACACTGATTTCCATAGTGGCTACACTGGTTTGCACTCCCACCAGCAGTAAATGAGTATCCCCCTTTTCCCATGTCCTTGCCAGCATTTGTTGTCATTGTCTTTTGGATCTTAGCCATTCTGATGGGTGATGAAATCTTAAAGTAATTTTAATTTGCATTTCCTGAGATATTGAGCTAAATTTTAATATTTCTAAGCCTGCATGCATTTCGTTTTTTGAGAACTGTTTTTAAATTGTTATTTATTTTTTTATGTTTAGTTTTTCGAGTTCTTTGTATATTTTATATAGTAACCGTCTGTCAGATGTATAGCTGGTAAAGAATTTTTCCCATTCTGTAGGCTTCCTCTTCACTCAAATGATGGTGTCCTTTGTCATATAGAAGCTTTTTAGTTCCATGAGGCCCCATATGTCAGTTGTTTGTCTTAATACCTGCAATTTCCTGTGCCTGTAGATTCCAATGTATTCCTTAATTTCTCCTGTTGAATTCAGGGTATCAGGTCTTATGTTGAGGTCCTTGATCTGTCTGGAGTTGAATTTTTTGCAGGGTGAAAAATAAGGGTCTAGTTTCATTTTTCTACATGTAGCTATCCAATTTGACCAGCACAATTTGTTGAACATGCTGTCTTTTCTCCAATATGTATCTTTGGCCCCTTTGTCAAAAATCAGGCATCCATAAGTGTGTAGACTTAAATCTAGGCTATCAATTCTATTCCATTGATCAGTGTGTCTGTTTTTATGCCAGTATCATGCTGTTTTTATTACTGTATCTCTGTAGTATAATTTGAAATCAGGAGTGATGATGCCTCTAGCTCTTTTATTGTTGAAGATTGTTTTGGCCATCCTGGTTTTGTATGTTTCTATATGAAATTTGAGTTTTTTTAAAATTTCTGTGAAGAATTGTGTTGTAATATCACCTGGTTATATTGAATCTGTAGATTGCTTTTGGTATAATTGCCATTTTCACAATATTAATCATGCCAATCCATGAGCATGGGAGGTCTTTTGATTTTCTCGAATCTTCTTCAGTTTCTTCCTTTAATGTCTTAAAGTTTTTATTATACAAGTCTCATTTCCTTGGTTAGACTTATTCCAGGATATTTTTATAAATAGATTGTTTCCCTAGTTTGTTTCTCAGTATGTTTGTTGTTGTTATATAGGAAGGTAACTGATATTTGTGTGTTAATTTTATATCCTGCTACTTCATTGAATATATTTGTCAGCTCTAGGAATTTTCTGGTGGAGTCTTTAAAAATTTTTTTTGATTTACTTTTTTTTTTGGTCTTTTTGAGACAGGGTCTCCCTGTAGCCCCAGCTGTCCTGGAACTCACTATGTAGACCAGACTGGCCTTGAACTCACAGGGATCCGCCTGCCTCTGCCTCCCAAGTGCTGGGATTAAAGGTATGTGCCACCATGTCGGGCTTTAAAATTTACTTTTATTTTATGTGTATGAGTGTTTTGCCTACATGCATGTAAGTACACCACATGTGTGCATTGCCTTAGAGGCCAGAAGTGGCCATAGGATCCTCTGGAACTGGAGTTATGGATGGTTTTTCAATGCCATGTGGGTGCTAGGAAGTAAACCTGGATCTTCTGGAAGAGCAACCAGTGCTCCTAACTACTGAGCCATTTCTTCAGCTCCTCTGTGGAGTCTTCAGTTTTTTATGTATAGAATCACATCATCTGCAAATAAGGATACTTTGACTTCTTCCTTTACAGTTTGTATCCCCTTTATCTCCTTCACTTGTCTTATTGTTTAGTGCTTGATGAAACTTCAAGCACTGTATTGAATAGGAATGGACAGAGGGGCATTCTTGTCTCCTGATTTTAATGGAAATGCTTTTGAGTTTTTCCCCATTTAGTCCCATGTGGCTGTGGGTGTGTTCTTTATTGCCGTTATTATATTGAGGTATGTCTCCTGTATCCTTAGATTCTCCATGACTTTATTATTATTATTATTATTATATGTGTATGCGTATATTGCCTGCATGTAGGTAAGTGCACCTGTATCATGCAATGCCTGTG